CCAGAGCTCGGGTTTTCATCTCCCACCAGCAGGACCCCCACCCCCAGCCCACCCTGCAGCACCCCGGCTGCCTGTGCCCAGAAATGCCCCCAGAGCACCAGCCCTGATGGCAAAATGCACCAGAGACATGGGGCAAACTCTGCCTTGGAATGGATTTGGGACCTCTCCTGTTCACTGCCTCGCTCTCAGGTATGAAAAGTGAGACTGAGAGACAGCCAGGAGCAGAATCCTGGAATCATGGAAGGGTTTGGGTTGGAGGGGATCCTCAAAGACCCAGTGCCACCCCCTGCCATGGGCTGGGACACCATCCACCCTCCCAGGTTGCTCCAAACCCCATCCAGCTCCATCCTTGGGCACTTCAGTGACTGGGCTCCACAGCTTCTCTGGGCACATCTCCCAGAATTATCTCCTGGAGCTGGAATTATTTCCTGCTGCTGGAAACGAGCGAGGCACCAGTGGAGCTCCTCCGGAGCCTGAGCTCTGGGTTCATGACCAGCAGATTGTTCTTTTGGGGTGCTCTGGGGGAGCCTATCCTGGCCCTGCTCCCAGGGGCTCTGGGCCCTGCAGTGTTCCCCAAGGCTCAGGCTCCATCAAATGCCTCAGAATCACAAAGCCATGGCCAGGGAGGCACCGTGGACACCTGGAAGGATGCCAAGGGGGAAATGAGCTCCAAGCCAGCGGCGTTTCGGTTACAGGAAGAGAAAATGTGACAGTGGTGACATTAATGAGGAGCCAACCCAAAGATCAGAGAAACTGCAGCCACCTACTCGTGAGTGCTGAGCCAGGCCTAGGGGAGATTCCTGCTTCCCAGACTGACCCAGTCTGGCAGGGTGAGAGCTCCTGGCCACCCTGGAGGGGACAGACAGCTCCTGTCCTGCCCTGGTGGGAGCTGGCAGCACAGGGAGCGAGGAAGGACAGGGCAGGCACTCACTGCTGCCAGCCCGTCCTGCCCTGTGTGGGATGCATTTCCTAGGGATGAGGCTCCCTGGGCTCAGCAGGCTTTGACAGCAGCAGGAATTTCTCTGGCAGCAGCCCCAAAGGCTCTGCTCAGCTCAGCTGATACTCCCAAAGCCGCCCTGCACTGTCTGGCACCCAGGAGCCATCACTTACCCTGATCCACGGGGATGGCAGGGACATCTTTGGCTGCTGGTGACACACAAACCACCTGGCTGCCCGACACCTGCCCCTCCACCTCGCTCAGGTTCCCGAAGAGGCAGCTGACACCGGCGCTCAGGTCTGGAGCATCGCTCACCTGCAGGCTGAGCTGCAGCAGGGAGGGGGAAAACAGAGCTGTGAGCAGGCAGAGCCACCCAAACCTCCCTCCAGTTCCCAGTCCTGGCTGCTTTCCCTGTCAAAACCACCCTCTCAAATCAGCCACCTGCCCACAGTTGGTGGCCAGCTGCCCTTTCATGGGGGAGGGAGGAGGAAAAAGGAAGGAGAGGATGTTCTTTGTGGGACACAAACCCACCTTGCTGAGCTGCAGGGGTGCTGCAGGTCAGGAGTGCTGGCAATGGCAGATTTTTGTCCCCTGGTTGCTCTACAGGAGCTTTGCCACCCTCAGTGCCTGTGCCAGGACCCTGAGAGCAGCACTGACCGTCCCCAAACCCCTGAGCTCCAACCACCTCCCTCCCCCCTGCACCAGTGGGGGACACCTGGCCTGGGAGGAGCAGGTCCCCAGTGTCCCCAGCGCGCCTGGGGAGTGTCCCCAGCACGCCTGGGGAGTGTCCCCAGCACGCCTGAGGAGTGTCTCCAGGGCAAAGCAGAGCCTGGAGGCTGAGCCCCCGCTCCCCACACCATTTTGCCACGGGGTGCTGGGGCAGCCCAGGAAGGGGGGCAGCAGGACCAGCTGCCACAGGGGTGTGGGGTAACAACAGCTGGGAAGCTTCAGAGAGCCAGGCCCCAGCACAGCTCACAGAGGAGCTTTTGGGGAAACAAAGCCTTTCCTTTCAGCAGCTACAGAAACCAGGGAAATGTGAGCTGAGGCACCAGGAGAAGGGGAATTTGTTTCTGCCACCCCCCTCCACCTTCTCCCCCGTCTCGTGTGACCCCTTGGCTCCCCTGTCCCTCTGTGAGTGTGACTTCATGAGAAAACATTTGTGCCAGAGGGAAGGGGGAGAGGTGGGAGCACAGGGGCTGTCCTGCAGGGCCCTGGCCCTGCCCTGCTCACCGGGAGGCTGTGCTCGGACACGGAGATGCTGCTGGGCTGCACGGCCACGCTCAGGCACTGGCTGATGCTCCCTGCGAAGCGGAACGGCTCCTCTGCCCGCTCACACCGGTCCCTCGGGGAGCACCTGCCACACAGGAGCACTCAGAGCACCGCAAAAACCACACAGAGCCATCAAACACCACCCAGGAGGACTCAGAGCACCTCAAACACCATCTAGAGCACTCAGAGCACTGCAAACACCACCCAGGAGCACCCAGAGCACTGCAAACACCACCCAGGAGCACCCAGAGCACCGCAAACACCATCCAGAGCACTCAGAGCACCACCAACACCACCCAGGAGCACCCAGAGCACCTCAAACACATCCAAGAGCACCCAGAGCACCTCAAACACCATCCAGGAGCACCCAGAGCACCACCAACACCACCCAGGAGCACCCAGAGCACCGCAAACACCATCCAAGAGCACTCAGAGCACCACAAAAACCCCACACGAGCACCCAGAGCACTGCAAACACCACCCAGGAGCACCCAGAGCACCGCAAACACATCCAAGAGCACTCAGAGCACCGCAAACACCACACAGAGCACTCAGAGCACCACAAACACCACCCAGAGCACCTCAAACACCACCCAGAGCACCTCAAACACCACCCAGAGCACCCAGAGCACACCCAAAACCCCATGGAGGCGCTCCACAGCAGGACCCTGCGATGCCCCGCACGGGGAGAGGGTGTTGGGCACCAGGTTAGGGCCAAAGGGAGCTGGGAAATATTCTGTGGTCAGTGAGAACACAAAGCCTGAGAATGGCAGGAGTAATTCCTGCCCTGGGACACGATGCAGAGCTCCCAATCCCTTGTGCTGGAGGGGCTGGGGGTGTGGGGTGAGCCGTGGACTCAGCATCTCCACGTGAACCAAACCAGAGAGCAGTAACAGGCAGGGACAGGACGATGCTTCTGTCCTAATTAAAACCACACAGCTCACTAATCATCTCCTCCCAGAGCTGAGGGTGAGGCACAGCCAGGAATGGGAGCTTGGCTGCTGCTCCTGCCTCGAGCTCCCAGCTCCTTCCCATTCCCAGCAGCGGGAATCGAGCCTGGGGGCATGCCAGGGTGGCTGGGTCTGCTCCCTGCACTCCGTGTGCTCCAGCAGGGCTCCCCATCCCTGTTTGCTGCTGCAGGTGTCCTGGGAGCAGAGAGAACTCCAGCTGCTCCCAGCAGAGCACCCACTGGGGACGAGGGAGGGCCCTCAGTGCACAACCCAGCCTGGAATCCCTCCAGGGTTTCCTGGTTTGTGTCACTTGGGGAAAATCCTTTCCTTCCCACCCCCTGCCAGGGGTGCAGGTGGCAAATCCGCCCTCAAGCTCCCTTTGAACCCAGGCATTGTGGGATTCTGTGGAACAGTGGGAGCGAGGCTGTTTGCTTCAGATGAAGGTGAGTGAAGTTTCCACTCTCCCTTTCCAAACCACCCCCGTGATCCCCAACAAACGCTGGGGCTGCTCTCCTCAGCCTCTCCCTTTTGTACCTTTTCCTTTGGAGCATAAAGGAGCTAAATATGAATGGTGCCAAAGGAAGAAATACCGAGGTTTAAGTGAATCTCTAAGATAGCCCTAAAGTGAGCTCTTGACTGGAGCCTTTATCTCATTGACTCGCTGGAATGGCTCTTTTTTATCGTCCTATTTATGGCAACAGCCCCAACAGAGATAAATAGGCCTGGAGACAATAAGGCACTTGCAGTGAGCAGCACGGGGAAGTCTCGCAGGCTTCAGATCCCACTGGGCTGGAGAGATCCTGTAACAATCTCCTGGGGGCCTCTGATGGCTCCCAAAGAGCAAAGGATCCCTCTGTCCATGCTGAGGATGAAGAAATCACCTCCTCCTCCTCCTCCTCCCCTCACCCTTCCAGCCATCCCTGGGCACAGTGTGAGCCTCACCCCTGACCCAGCACCCTTGCAGGGAGCAGCTGGCAGCAGGAACATGTGAGAACGAAAGGGGACTGATGACAAATTAAATACAAACACTCCAGCACTTGGGGCCTCCAAAGGAAGATGACAGAGGCTTCGAGGAGCAGCAAGATAAACACAATTATTTACTGCTTAAAAAATAAAAGCTGAAAAATGATCACTGCTCCAAAGTGCAGATGCTTGAAGGGAGAGCTGAGAAATCCCACGGGGAGGGGCCCTTGTTGGGAATAGGTTAATGCTGAAATGTCATGGCCAAAAGGGCAGAGGAAATGACACTTCTCTCTCCTCTTGTCATTGAGGGTTTTGTCTCTGCAAAATGAAGATAACAACCTTTACCTGCATCCCAGGTGGCTTGTGAAGATCCAGCTCATTAGCACGAGGGAAGTGCTCGCTGATCCTTGCAGAGGAGCTGCAGCAGCGCTGGCAGCACAGCTCCTGCTGCAGCACCCCCTGCCCACCCTGCTGTCCCAGGGATGGAAATGATCCCCTCCTGACTGGGGGGCTGTGACAGTGGAGACTTTGGGACATGACTGCACAAAGGCTGCTCAGCTGTAGGGCTGGACAGGCTGGCTTGGCAAGGAAAAAACGCTGAAAACCCCCAAAGGATGCCCAGAGAGCCCTGGAGTGCTGCTGGGGGATGCTCAGAGCTCTGCTGCTACCCCCAGCCCCTCCCTGAGAGGAGCCTGTGGGATGCTCAGGGGCTGAGCTGCTCCTCCTGCGCCTCCCACCAGCCAAGCCCGCCGTGGGGAGCTGCTGTGCCCCCCAAAGCCCCGAATCCAGGCCGGATTTGCGGAGGAGCCTGCAGTTCCCCGCTCCCCTCCAGCACCTGCTCCTCAGGCAAGTGGCCAAGCGCTGCTGTGCGGGTCCTGAACCCTGCCTCAGGCTCTGGGGCCGCTCAGAGAGCTGGCACGGGGCCGCAGGGATTTCTATTCCCCTGCTCCAGCCTCCTCCAGGCTCTCCCCTCCTCCCCGAGCTCCTGTGCCCGGTGGTCTCCCTTCCGCCTTAGGAAGTGCTGCTTATTGTGGCAGGGCAGAGAAAGGAAGGGCACGGACACCTCCTGAATGCAGAGAGAATTTCCTGGAGTTCCCCTGGAGAGAGAATTTCCTGGAGTTCCCCTGGAGAAAGGCACCCTCAGCCCTTGTGCTGGGTGGTGTGAGGGGGGCTGCTGGGGCTGGGACCCCCTGATCTCCCCTGGCAGGATTGAAATCTCAGGATTGAAATCTCAGGATTGAAATCTCAGTATTGGAATCTCAGGATTGAAATCTCAGGATTTAAATCTCAGGATTGAAATCTCAGGATTGGAATCTCAGGATTGAAATCTCAGGATTTAAATCTCAGGATTGAAATCTCAGGATTTAAATCGCAGGATTGAAATCTCAGGATTGAAATCTCAGGATTTAAATCTCCCTTCCTGGGGATTCTAAAAGAGCTCCATGCTCTGCCCTGCTGCCGTCACCTCTCTGGGAGCAAAGCCCCACTCACCTGGTCTTGTCTGCTGCTGCCTTTAAAAACTCCACGTAATTTGGGATTTGCAGTCTGTAATTTGGGATTTGCAGTCAGAGCAGGAGGGTGTAAAACACCAGGAGGGGCGTGCAAAGCACCAGGCCTCCATTCCCACCAGTTTAAATTCTGGTTTTCCACCGTGCCCACTTCACCCTTCACCTCTCAGCTCAGGGATCTCCAGTGGCACCCGAGCTGCGATGCAGGGAATGGCCAAAGGAGAGGAGAATGGATTTGAGGATCTTCAGCCTAATTTGTTTTGTGTTTGGGAAGCTTTGAAAGACACTTTTGTCACCTGGACACGGCCAAGGCTGGACTTACATGTGGTGGAGGGAGCACCAGCCGCAGTGGGGGTCCCCCGAGCTCAGGCACTCCTGGCAGGTCGTGTACTGCTCGCAGGACTCCACAGGCACCCGTGACACCTGCAAGGGAACCACACACACTCAGTGCTGCTCCCCCAGCTCCTGCTTCACCCTCACAGCCACCGAACACCACAGCAAAAGCACGGCCTGAAATGAATTTGTTCCAACATCCAAGAGTAGGAATTACTGGAGGCTGAGACATGAGGTCAGCCCGTCCCTTGGGTGAGTCCTGGGCACGCAGAGCCCCAGCTGGGCTCCCACAGTGGCGCCAGCTCCTCCAACCCCCCTGGCCAGAGCCTCCCCTGGGGCTGGAGCTGAGCCCTCTCCCTGATTTACGCTTTGCTGCCTCATCCATCTCCCGGGGGAGCTGCTGCAGGGAATAATTCACTGGGATTTTGGCAGCTTGTTTAGTCTGGGTGGGTGTTTCACTGCTCTGGCCACTCTGAGCCCTTCCAGCAGCAGCCACTTGGGCCCCCGGGCCTGACCCACGGGGGGCTCCTGTCCCTCCCAGGCAGGGATGCCACAGAGGGGAGCACAGGTGGGAGCAGCCCCAGGTGATGCTGTAAACCCCTCTCCTCTCACAGAACACGGGGCAGGTCCTGCCTGACGCACGCTCCTGACCTATTTACCAGCACTGAAACCCCCAAAGGCTTCAAAACCACACCACAGTGCACTGCTTGGCTCCAGCAAAGACATTTTCAACCTTTTTAACCACTTTAACCTTTCCAACCCCCACTTTGCCGCCTCCAGCAGCAGGGTGGGTCTGCATCCCCTGTCTCGAGCTCCTGTAGTGTCCCTCTAGAGAATTACAGAAGAAATTCCTTCCTGTAGGGTTGGGAGGCACTGGAACAGGTTGCTCAAGAGATTGTGGACTCCCTGTCCCTGGAGGTGTTCAAAGCCAGGCTGGACAGAGCTCGGAACAACCCAGGACGGTGGAGGGTGCCAGATGATCTTTAAGCTCCCCTCCAGCCCACGCCATCCCGCCATTCTGTGATTCTATTCCCATTTCTCCCACCAAAGGCTGCAGATAATCCTGGCCCAGCCTCCCTGCAGGGCTCGGGCCCCAGCAGCGATGCCTGCAACTGGCTGGGAATTCAAACAACTGTTGGATGGCTCTGGCTCTGTCCGTCAAAACAGCACCCGGCTCCCAGCAGCCGGCTCTGAAAGGAGCAGTGTCTCCCCAAACAACGGCCACTGTCACGCCAAGTGCTGTTGACACAGTGAGAACCCAGTTCCTCTCTGAGTTCGACACCAATAGGGCTGCTATTCTTCTTGTTTCCTCAGCCCCACTCAACAGCTTTTCCTGAAACAGAAATCGCCCGGGGAAGCGCGGGGTTGGTGTTTTCTGGCCGAGGTGGAGCCCGTGGGGCGGGTGGAGGGCTCGGTTTGGGACCCTGGAAATGGGGCAGAGCTGGGAGTTCCTTCAGGCCGTGCTGGGTGGAAAGAGCTTCGGGAATGGAGAAGAGAAATTCGGGGTCAGAGGTGGAAATGAAGGGCTCGGGTTTGATTGCTGGGGTGCCCTCGCAGGGTCTGCACCTCGAGTGGCCGCAGGTGATGTGGTTTTGCTGCTTTGCCTCTCCCTTCTAAGGAACAGAAAACACTTCACAGGTGGGGTGGGGGCCTGGTGGCAGGAGCAGCCCCCCAGGGCTGCAGGACACTGCTCCCCCCAGCCCAGCCCAGCCCAGAGCAGAGCAGAGCAGTGCTGCAGGCACCACGCCGCTCCCAGCCGCAGAACCAGAAGCAAACACGTGTTTTCCAAAGCAAACAAGCATCCCACGGCTCTCAGCATTCCCGCTGGGAGGCACCAGCCAGCACAGGATGCACCCAGGGAGTCGCTGGGTCTCCCCTAAAACCAGCCCAGCATGCTGAGCTCTGACCCAGCCTGGAGGGGAGGGCAGCCCCAAAATCCCCCAGCACTGCCATCGCCCTTCTCGCGCCCACAAAGGGAGGCTTGGCAGGATCCGTGATTTAAATGCAGCTCAGGGCTTGTTTCGTGTTTGTGAGGAGCTGGATGCTCTCGCTGCGCTCTATAAATAACGGAGGATTGGAATTATGTGAATAAGAGTTCATTAGAGATGATTTGATGTTGAGCGCTTCGTTTCTTTTTCTGCTCAGAAGCTGCGGCTTCTGCACATGATAATTCTTTAAAAACCACACAGAGGTTTGGAACAATGTCTCTGGAGGAGCATCTGTGTGAAGGACAAAAGCCAAGAATCCAACACTGCTGGGGGATCTCCTGGCTCCTGAGGGCACAGCCCTGCTGCCCCCCAGCCCTCTCTTCCTGCCCTCCCTGCAAAACAAACCTGCTGCTCAACCATTAAATGATAAAGCCTCATTATTACTGTCCCTGACTGCCTGACCCATAACATCAGCAAAACAAAATTAAAAAATAAAATAAATGGAGCAAATAAGTGCAAGAAACCAGTTCTGAACCATCAAACAAATAAATAAATAAAAAAATACCTAAAATAAACAGCCAAAGCAAAGTTTCCACAGCTTTTGCGTGCTACCAGCCCAGGCCTGTGACCTCCCCTGGCTGGAGACAGCCCCTGGAGCATCTCACAGCCACGGCAGGCTGCCCACAAATCCCTCAGGGGGCTGGAGTTCAAACAGAAAATCTATTTTTAATGACTTTGGGGAGTGGAGTAGAGATGCCAACTAGTTCAGTGTAATTAAAGCCATCTATCACTCACTGAGCAGGAGCCCAAAGTTGATGAACTTTCCAATGAGATTTGATTCTTTCCTTTATTCATGAGAAAACTCCGCTTTGTGCTGGGGCAGGAGACGTGAAAAAGTGTGGGAAGGAGCAAGGAGGACGCCTCAGCTGCAGTCATTAATGTGTCAGGGTGACAGGGAAAACAAAGTCAGACTTTCCCAGAGGGCTGTAAGAAGTTTGACAGACTCCTCTTCCCGCTGCTGCTCCTCCTCTTGCGGCTCCATGCAGAGCTCCAGGTGGAATATCCCGCTGGGCACCTCTGCCAAGGAAAATCCCGGTGTGCAGCGATGGGAACACTCTGGCTTTGCTGAGCAAGACACGTGGGCACGGGCTGCCTCAGGCCATGGAAATCCCTGGAAATCCCTGGAAACTGCAGCTCCTGCCCTGTGGAGGCCTCAGACACACCGAGGTGTGGAACCAGTGTGGAAGGGCCAGGAGGATGTGGGAAATGCACCCATGGGGAAGAGCCAGGACAGAGGAGAGGGGAAAGGGGCAGTTTTAGCCACAGACAACTCAGGGCCACCTCCAGGATGCTGTGGAGCTCCCAAGGTGGGGTTGGCTCCAGCATCCATCCCAGGAAGCACAGAGCAGGCGGGAGCAGGCGAGGGGCAGCTCTGCAGGAGCAGCTCTGCTCTTCCACACACCCCAGCACCGGAGGGAGGGCTCTCAGAGCCCCTGCCAGGCTGTCAGAACCAAATCAACGCCTGGAAGTTCTGGCAGAGAAGCAGCGAGTGGGAGAGGACACGGAGACAACGTTGCCATGGCTACGAGGGGATTATTTAATTACGGCACTGCAGATGCACGCGGAGAGAGCCCCTTCAACTCTGATCCAGGCAACCTTTGCAGTGGGCTTGTCTTTGCTGCTGGAAGAACCTCATTAACATCTGAGGAGGAAAAAGCTGTGTTGGAGCACAGGGGACTGGATCACTCTCCGAGTGAGGGATCAGATCCTCTGCAAACATTCCCATCTCCTTGGCTCCCTCCGACCCTCCATGCACCGTGCCAGGCTCCTGAGGGAGGTGATGAAAGCAAGGACAGCCTCCTCTGGGAAGCAAGAAGGACTGAAAAAATAGCAAATATCCCTAAGCGAGGCTTGCTCATGCAGGAAAATTGTCCTCAAGCCAGAGTTTCCTCCATCCATCCGGCCCAGCATCCCGGCAGGGCTGGGAGCAGCCTCATGTTCTGGCACACAGGCTCCTGCAGACAAACGCTTTCCTGTGGTTTACCACGGCTCGAGTTAATCATCACATCAATATGGAACATCTGAGCGGGGTTTGTTGGAATAACAAAGTGCCAGGCAGAGATCCCAGCCCGGCTCGCAGAGCAGCACAGCCCAGTTCAAACCTGGGTTTTGGTGTCCAACACGTGCCCGCTCACGGGGCGCTCTGCTGGCGCTGGCAGCTCCCGCTCTGCCCCCAGCAGGTGACAGTGACACTCGGGGCTGCAGGAGGTGGCACAGGGACAGGTGTCCCATCCCTCACCCTCCCAGCTGTGGGTGGGGGCTCAGGCTGGCACAGTTCTGTGTGACAGCCACCGCTCCAAAGCGCCTGGGCAGCCCCAGCCCTGTCTGCTGCCTCTCACGGACCATCTGCAGCTGGGAACTGCAGGGCCAGGGATGCACAGCCTCCGTCTCCATGTGCCCACTGCCTCCAGAGCTGGAGGAACCCCATGCACGCACAAAATCAGGCAGCAATTCTTTCATCTTCCACACTGAAATGAAATCTGGAGCGCAGGCCTGGCTGTGGTGCTCACGGGAGCTTCTTGAACGGCAAATGCGGCAAAATTCCTGGATCAAATAATGAGGTGCAGCCACAGGTTCGTTCCTGCCTGGCTCCTCTCTGTCCCCAGGGTGCTGGTGACAGCTCGGTGTCCCCACACAGGGATGGCAGCTGGGGAGGACAGGACCCTCAGCAGATCCTTCTCTTTTGGGACCCTAAACCACTCCCTGCCTTGCAGAACTGACCCACAGAACCTCTCCCTGACAAGAAAAGGAGGTGATGAGGGTGTCCACGTGCCAGTAATGAGGAATGGGATGCTAAAGGTCTCCCCGACAAGGACAGGGTGCTGCTGTGACGGACCCAGGTCCCTGGAAAATCACCTCACCTCAGGGGAGTGGCAATTTCATTCAATGTGCAAAAAGGGCCGGGTGAGTTCCTGGAAGTCAGGAGTGTGATGCAGGCAGGAGCTCCCCTGCTGCAGGTGTGGCCCTGCCAGGCTGCCACAGCCTCCCTGCCCGGCTGGAGGCTCCTCTGGGCTGGCTCTGGACTCCAGGATGACGTTCCTGGAGCAGCCAGGGCCACATCCCCGCGCTCCTGCTGCCATCACAGGGGCTTCCTGAGGGTTG